AGATGTTTATCTGTGCTTTATTGACTGTACAAAAATGTTTGACTATGTGGATCATAACAAGCTATGGACAACATTGTGGAGAATGGGCATTCTGGACCATTTAATTGTGCTCATGAAGAACCTGTACATAGACCAAGAGGCAGTCGTTCAATCAAATAAAAGGGGACGCTTAATGATTTATAATTAAGAAAGTTATGTAACAACATTCTGTCTTTTCACCATACTTATGCAATCTGTACACTGAGCAAACAATCTAAGAGACTGGATTATATGACGAAGAAGATGATATCAGGATATGAGGAAGACTCATTAACAACTTACAATATGCATATGATACAATTTTGCTTGCTGAAAGGGAAAAGAACTCAAAACACTTACTGATGAAGATCAAAGATCACAGTCTTCAGTATGGGTTGCACTTCACTGGAAAGAAAACAAAAATCTTCACCACTGGACAACTAAATAACATCATGATAAATGGAAACAAGATTGAAATTGTCAAAAAGTTCATTTTGCTTGGATCCACTATCAACACTCATGAAAACAGCAGTCAAGAAATCAAATGACGTATTGCATTGGGAAAACCTACTGCAAAAGACCTCTTAAAGTGTTCAAGAACAAAGATGTCAGTTTGAAATCTAAAACACACCTAACCCAAACCATGATATTTTCAATAGTTCTATATGTATGTGGAAGTTTAACAACGAATAGGGAAGCCTTATGCTGCTGGAGGAGAAAATGAAAAGTATCATGGAATATGGCAGAAGAACCAACAAATCTGTTTTGGGAGAAGTACATCCAGAATCCTCCTTAGAGACCAGGTTGGCAATACTTCGTCTCTTATACTGCAGACATATCATCAAGATAAAGAGAACCTGGAGAAGCACTCTTGTTTGGTAAAGTGGAGGGTCAGTGAAAAACGATAAGACAGCTGGTCAGATGGATTGGCACAGTGGCAGCAGCAATGGGCTCAAGTGTAGTAATGACTGTGAATATCCTGCAGGTCTTGTCAGTGCTTGTTCTGTTGTATATAAGGTTACTATGTATCAGAATCGAATCCATGACACCTAATAACAAGTTTTCATAACTTCACACCCTGTATATCTCACCACAGAGTCCTGGTGTGCACTGTTGGATAAGAACTAAACCCCAAGGTCTCTTTGAATGACAAGGCTAGTGGTTCAAACTCAACAGCAGCTCCTCTGAAACTCTATACAGGGTCGCTATGAGTAGTAACCAACTCGATAGCACTTAACAACAACCACAATCATCTACTATAGTCATGAATATGTTTGCAGCAAAGTTAATTAATATCCATGTATAAATATGCTTTCCAAACCTTTATATATTCATGGCTATTCTTCCATTCTTCCTCCAACACCTGTTCAGTTTGCATGCCTGACCATGTAGATCACCAATGCTGGAGTTTACAACCATGTATCTACCTGCAGATCACCATTATTGGAGGATTGTATTTAGCACAGCATTTACCTTTCTTGCTGTTAGCTCTTACACTCTACCCTGTGTCTTCCCATGCCTTCATCATGCTTATACCAACCTCCCTCTTATTG